ATTCCACATTATTACAAATAACTTCATTTCTGGACATTTATGGTTTGATTTCTTTGTATGTATGGATCACTTGGGTTGTTACCGACATCTGGTGAACATTTCACGTCATTAGCGCCTCTAGTAATATATTTACTGAGAAAAATGGTGACGTGTTCAATACTTATTTTACCCGCTGTATATAATTAGTTTTATTGGTGTTTTACAGTGTGATAGCTAAATGTTCTCAAAGTACAATGCTACTGAATGCAGAGCTCAGCTGAAACCTGGGTTGATGTAGACCCTAGACTAGACTGAGTTGGTTTATTTCAACAAATGTACACCAGGGTTGGGCAATGTTAGCAAAATAAATAAATAAACAAAAATAATCACTATTATTTATGGAATTTAGCCCAGGGGACTTCAACATTATTTCAGTCTCAAACCCCAAACTGATGGAGAGACAGAGCAAGACCCCCTATATATAGTGACATTAGTTGTTGACTGCTTTGCTGCAGCACTAAAAGGCTCTAAGCCAATCACTAGAGTGAACATGACAGCATGAACTGCCCAGTACGTGGGCATTTCACTGAAATACATTATTTTATTCTTTGCTACATGTTGGATTCATGGTAATTTATGGTTAAAAACAATGACAAAAAAAGTTAAAATTAAAAAAGATTTTCACAACACTCCTGCAAAACCCTATCACTGACGACTTCTGATTTAGTGATAGTAATATGATTAAAAGATGATGCTTTGATGCTACGTAAGTTACTCTGTGCTCTAAGATTATTCTTATAAATCCTCAGTCAAACTAACTTTGCTTTCTTTTCAGCTCATAAAGGACAGATTGAGTGAGTGCATCATAGATTCTCGGCTGAGTATTTGTTTCCAACTTTCACTGGATGAGAGTTTGCTGTAGCCGACAACGTGGCCTCAGTCCACAACCTTTGGAGCGAGTTTGTAGCGMCGCCTGCTGCCATAGTTTTTATGTTATGGGCTCATCGGCACACTTAATGAGAGTGCGACCCACACAAAAATATTTCATCATGCAAGAKTGCAAAGTGGCAAACAGTAGTGAC